TCCCCATCCACAATCACTGGTGGTATGTAGTTTAGATTCATACCTCTAGTCGCCAATCGATTGGTAGCAAACAAATTCGCCCACAGCTTCTTCCCATCTTCTCCATTCAATTCTAGCTTCCTCTGCGTATTGTTTGGTTTACCCTGTGTTACTGTTCCATTGCTTCCCAGCAAATTCTGTTGTGACCCAGATCCAATTCCTCTTTGTTTTGACAGCTCTGGCCAGTGTTCATCTACTACTGTTTTCCCTTCTCCTTGCTTGCAGTAGTCATCGGAATTTGTGGTGGTCCGTCTGGTGTTTGCAGCTGCTCTTCGTCAGTTGCTACCCTCCTAGTTGTCTGTGCCGATGTAGTACTACTAGCAATGCCATGGCTTATCTCCTCCTCGCGAAGTCTTTGTGTTGCTCGTCGTGGTCGTCCCCTCCCCATTTCCGGCAAGGTGCAAGTTAGTGCACACTAACGTGCGCCGAGAGAGAAAGAGAGTATAAATCCGTAAATAAAATTAAAATTACAAACACAAAAGGAAAAAGGAAAAAAAAAAATGAAAATACGGTTGAGTTCAAATTTTTATTTTTAAAAAATGTATAAATCCCCATGTTTTCTAAAAAGAAAAAAAAATATGTATTATGGACAAAATCCAACTTTTATCATTTGGAAATTTTAAAGAATTAAATTTAAATTTATCATTGTTATTTTTTAAAAACAGAACTATTATACTTTTTTTTACCACATGGCAATGTTAACACAAATGCACATTTAAAGTTATTAATGCGGTATTATACTTTTTTAAAAATTATTTAAAAGTGACATAAATCTTAAAGTATTTATAAATCTTATATCATCCACTAAGACAGATATGACAAATGTCAACATACAAAAAATATATTAATTAATAAAAATATATACTTTTAAACTCATTAATTGATAGATAAATGCAGAGACCTATTATTTATAATAGATTATCCATATTCATTCTTAAAGAAAAGGAACGTGGAAAAATTGATCAAAATTTTAAAGGTAAAAGATAATCAATATTAAATGATTAAAAATATACACTTTTAAACTCAGGAAATTGAAATATAAATGCAGAGACCTATTGATAATAGATCACCCACATTCATTCCTAAAGAAAAGGGGCGTGGTATTTTTTCTTAAAACAATTTAAAGCAAAAAGATAAATAAAATTAAATAATTAAATAAATTGATTTTAAGATCCTAATTGAAAAATAAAAAACTGAACAAATCACATTTCTAACGGCAAGAGATCCATTTTTTCTTCTTTATTGCTATCCAACTTTTTGAATTTTTAAAATTTAATTAGTTCAAGCCAGATTCAAAATTTGATACTAACAAAAACTACCACTTTAGTACAAAGAATATTAAAACTCATGAATCTCTAATTATCACTTCTTTCCATATTTTGGCATATTTAAGATTTTCATTGAGGAAGGTAAAAAAATAAATTTTAAAATTAAAATACATTTAAAATGTCATGACAAAAAAGAAAGAAAAAGAAAGCTTTAATAAATGGATAGCTAAAATACATAGGAATTTCTTTTTTAAAAATATAGATAAATATCGAAAGAGAAAAAAAATAATTAACCTAAATCATCCCTAAAATTTCTCACCCACTTACCTAATTATCCAAATCTCTCAAACTTTAACTATATATTTTAATCTTCTACCTACCTATATGACAGGAAAGACAAGTATCAATGTTTCAGCATCATATAATAAATTCAAATTTTGAGTTTTAAAAAATAAATTTAATTATTTCAAATCTCTCTCTGTCTCTCTCTCTCTCTCTATATATATATATCATTGAATCATCATTTTTAAAAAGAATATAATGTTACACATCGTATTTTGTAAAATAATGACACATGACATCATCAAAATAATTTTCGAATTTTCAATTTGAATATTATTTTTAAAAAAAAAATCTCTAAAAAAATATAATTTTATAAATAATTATGTAAAAGTCTGTCAAATGAAAGTGTAAAAACAAAAATCGATATTTATATGTTATTAATAATTAGCAGATTTTCTCAGAAAAATAATTTATTAATTAAAAAAATACTAACAAATTACATCAACGGTTTATTATAAAATTTATATCGATAAATGATTTTATAACTAAAATTTATTTAAAAAATAATTTTAAAATTAAACAAAAAATAACGTTGTGGACACAATTCTTAATAATTTAGAACACAATTGAAATGACAAAAACTAAAAATATATTTCAAATTTTTTTTAAACCTTTTTAATCGAAAAAGTAGAATATTCCTAAAAAAATGGAGTAAATTTAAGTTGGATTTACCTTATTTAAATCATAGAAGAAGATTTAAAAATTACTACTACTGTCGGAGTCTTACATTTCTACTCTCTTCACAAGATAATTAAATTTTTACTTATAAAATCTTCTATCTCAATTTTTTTGATTTATAAAACACGCATTTTTTTAGTGTCTAAATTTTTCATATTCCTTGATACTAACTATGCATTGCACGGATATATATGAGGAGGTTGAGCACTGCATTCACTATATCAAAACAAAACAAGTGAATAATAAAATATAATAATAAATTTATAAGAAAAATTTAATTTAAAAATTAGGATATTAAAACATTACTCGCGCAACGCGCGGGCACGAATACTAGTTATTAAAAATAATGAAAAAAAAAACTAAACTAAACTGCACGGTAAATCTTCTTTTTAAATTTGAATTGAGATGAGTTATTTTGTTGCGACTCTTCCTAAATATTTGCTCCATTATTTTGCCTCCTTTTTTATAGCAAATTATATTAACCAAAAAATTGTAGACAACAAATGAACACTTTTTTTAACTTCTTCTTATTTAAAATTTTTAAATTTAAAATCACTTATAAATGTTCAATACAGTTTTCATACTTATCATTGTGAAAAGCAACTGCCACGGTTAACATAAATATATAATAATTTCTACAATTATTTACACAGCAAAGAAGAATAAGCGGTGGAAATATTTGTAGGTATGAAATTTATCGAAAAACAAATCTTGAATTCATTTGATATATACTATGGAAAGAAAATTGTATTGATTGTTTTTTAATAAATTAAATATAAATATGTTTGTTCCTAATAAAATGCTACCTGTCTAATTTTTAAAATAAATTTTATAAATGTAGAAGTTAGAGTTTATGAATTATCAAAATCAATTAATTTAAAATTAAAAAATAAATAAATATTCATAGTAATGTAACCACTCACCATAACTCCCCTAACACGTTTTTCTTTGTACTGTTTTTTTCATAAATATAAGTTGAGATGAACTTGTATGCACTGACAGTAAAAAGTTTTACACTATCAAATAAGTTTAACGGTAATAGCCAAACCAAGTTAAACCTCTAATCTATTTCTTTTTAAAATTTATTACTCCCTCTGTCCCAATTTATATGACTTACTTTCATTTTTTAGTCAATCCCAAAAAGAATGACACATTTCTATATTAAGTAACAATTTTACTATAAAATGGGACAGAGGAAGTAATTTTTTTCTCTCTCTCAGATGACTCCATAATCATTGGACTTGTTATTCTTCCATCCGAACTTCTATCTCCCCTAAGCTGCTAAGCTCCTCATCTAGGGTTTCATGATCTCTTTAAGTAGGCGTTTGGCCATGCGATACCATATCACGATATGGTATCGTGAGATGGAATCAGCGTTTGGACATGCGATTTTACGCTGATTCCATCTCATGATTCCATATCATGAGAGGTGATACCATATTCTCCAAAAACCATGATATGGAATTATATGGTGATTACATATCATGTTTTGAGATATTTTAATACAATAATTGATCCATGAGTTTATATTTTGTTAAAACAACCCCACATTTATATCTACTAACCATTTGTTTCATATGTAAATAAAATTTATAATCACATCATTACTTTTTAAAATTTATTATTCTCAC